GTGTTTAAATTATGAAATAATCTCTTGGTAACCGGTTGAGGAATATTTTTTCTTTTCGACGGTTTAGAACCGGCTCTGATGGTGTTAAACCTTTTCGGGTAGGGCTTAAACTTGGTAAATAATTCGGGAGCGACAAACTTTTTCTCGGGGGATCCCAGCACAACAAGATTCGCTGGTGAGAAAGAAAACCTGGGGCCACAAATAAAATTAGACCCGAGTACTTGCTCAGCTACCAGGTGGATTCTAGCTAATTAAATAATTAATTAATAAGCTAGAAAGATGCATTATTTCCTTCATTTCCTGCGACTAAATCGGCGCAATTTATCGGCGCGTTTTCGTTCGAATAACCTTTCAATTTCAGGTGGACAAAAAGTAGCAAAAAATCATTCTCGATACCCGGCCTTTGGTGAGTGTAAATTTCATATTTTCAAACTCGTTTCATCGAATACACTGTTTGAACTCGTCCAATTCTCGCTGCTTGTTCTCCAAAAAAAATTACCCTGTCATTAAACAAAGCAACAGGAAGATTGGATCCAATAACAGCTCGGATGTTTAATTAATTTTTCCAATACGCCTGGACATAAGAGAGAAGAGATTTAGTAAAATCAACAGTTCGATATCGCGGAATTCGATTTGCAGGTAACGAAGGGAACCTCGAAAGAAATCCCGGCGAAACTAACGTTGATTTCGATCCCGTTTCATTAGGCTCCAGTTGACTTTCCCTTTTCGAATTCCGGTCAGTCAGCAAATTTTCCTGGAGTCTGGAAACACAAAATTTCTGGAGATTCTTTTCCTTTAACTCGATCGCCCGAACTGGAACACAAAGGTCTCGGGCCTTTTGAGGAAGGTGAGAAGATATGTCTGCAGATAATCGAAAAAAAAAGGAATTCCTGGATGTATGGAGTGAATGGAAGCTTTCACTGCATACAGGAAGGTGTTTGTGAGAAAACAGCCGCTGTAAAATATCATTTAAAAATCGCATAACGAATTTAAACAGTAGGTGTAAAAACACTAATGGAAAAAACTTTCTATTCTCTTCACTATGATAGGAATAAATGAGTAGTGCGTAAGTGGGATTCCTTGTAAGCGCATCCCATTCGATCCGGTTGCTGGAAAATTTAATTAGATTAAAAGTTTTCTTGAAAAAGTTTCGCAAGCTCGTTCCGAGTAAATTTGTTTATTGCGTCTATTGTATTGAGGTTGTTCCCAGAATGGGATTCGGAGATACGCGAAAAGTTCGGCCGTTTAAAAAACGAACGGCCCGATTTCGAGACGACTTAATAGAAATATTCCAATTTATTTTAATAACGAGTTACTTCGGAATAAGTTCATCTAACATATTGAGGCGTTTTAAAACGTTTTCATGTCCCTTCAGTAGGCTTTTTTGGATGAAATTAGCAGAAGAAACTTAGAGAAGATATCCGTTCGCGAAACGAGGAGATTTCATCTGCATAATTCGGTTGTATTACTCGAGCAATAAGTAGAAAAAAAGCGCAAACAGAGCGCTTTCTTTACCCAACACGAAAATCCTTTTATGTCTAATATTTTCCAGTGGAGCTTTCCCGAAATGTATGTTACACACACGTAACAGGGAAGTTTATATCCGACCTAAACTAGCTGTAATAGGGCGCCATTTAAGAGTGAAACCGAAATTTATGGCATCTACAACTTTAATCTAATCCCCGGCGCGAGGGAATGAAAATAAAAATAAATACGCCGCGAAAAGTCGAATGTTCATTATAAATTCTTAGGTATTTGATTTCCATTCCAACGTAAATCTTCGAGGTATGACCTAATCTATTGATTAGTTCTTTTGAATACTTAATTAAAAGGGCTAATTAAAGACTTCTTATAACGATGATTGAGCTAGATTTCCACTACATTTCTTGATTCGATTTGTTCCTTCGTTTAAAGGGAACTAATTAAGTTACTTGGATGAGTCGTTTAAATTTACTAACTATATTTAGTTCCAAGTAGAAAAATTTCCTACAAAAAATAAATGGAAATTATTGATGTATTCATTGAGATTATTGAACCTGTAGCTATATTTGTACTTTTAATCGATTTTTGTCTGTTTGTTCTTTATCGTTCTCATTCTTATTAACATTTTCGTCAATTGCTACATTTGTGCTTGGAAGATTGATGAAAAAAAAATTGTATACTGATTGTTATTAAGGATAAAGGAAGCGGGCGTTGCAAGGAAGAAACGGGAGACTTATTTATAAATTTCCAGGAAATTAGCTCGCTAATTAATAAACATTTATAACGGGACGTTCGAGTGGAATAAACAAGCAAATAAACAAGCAGAGTTACTATTTGTTAGCGTCCCATTGTTATTCTCGGCGAGATAATGTGGGACCCTTCTGGAACTTAATGGTTCGTCATATTTAATCAAAGACGTAACCCGAGATAGCAGATTATGAATGTAAATGACCGGGGATTCCACCCCATAGAGCAGTTTACTCGAGTTTGCTCGAGCAGTCTTTCTTGGCAAACATATTAGATTCGGATTCTCTATATATAATAATCGCGAATTCGCGACCTGGCATCTTTTCCGAACGAATAACTTCCATTGCTCTGATAACAATCGCTGGTTTGGTTTTAAAGTATAACATTAAAAATTCTCGAAAGCAATCCATTTAGAACGTCTAGTTAAATAAAGCGCCGGAGGGTTGAAAATCCTTTAAATTACTTTTTATTGAAAAGAGAAATATTCCAATCCGAAAACGTCACTCTCTAAAATAGGATTAATGAAATAAATTTTCGTGCATCGACGATTGCGAGGGAGTTTGCAGAGCTGTATTCGAATATCTTTAAATTAAGCTAAAGTTATCTCAATAAATGTCTAACATTAAATAAAAGATAATTTCTCGAGTTTCTAATTGTGAGAAGTAAAGGGTTTGTTTTAATTTAGTTATCTATTATTAATATTTGCTACTCTAGTTAATTGTTGTTATTTACTTGTAGTCGACTAATGAAATTTGCCAATGAGAAGACTGAAGAGCCACATAAAACAAAGGCAATGTCGTTAAAACCGAAAGTAATCGATCTTACTGATTGGTGTAATTTGTTAAAGTTTACTTAATTTAGAAGGGCTGTTTTGAAATAAATACGCCCAAGGAAAAAAGTAATTAACTAGAAACCAATAAAATTGCTTCCAATTCAATCACTCCCTAATTAATTTTCTGGTGCATTAAATAATTTTTGTTTGTCAGTTTTTTATATCCAGTACGGTTCTGAAGTCACGCAATCTCTTATGTTAAAATTTATTCACCCTTCTTCGTTAAAAAAGAGCTAGATGAATGAATGCATCGGGAAAAAATTGGTAAATCTTGTAAAAAGTCGGGAACTTAGCATTTTCCAATCGTTTATAATCAGTAAATAAGTTCAACGTCTCGAGCACTTTTTGAACTCGGACCAAGACGAATCGAGTTCTTCTATTAGACAGGTACAATTTAAAAAAATACATCGCAGGAAAAATAATACTCTATAATGCTCGTTTCCACTATATGCTTCCAGTAATTTGTCATGAGTCTTTCGTTTGCCACTTTTCCACGAGATATAATCTATCATTTTGAACTCGGAACTCGAAAAATAGAAGAAAACTTATTACCCGCTAACTTTATCAGTGTGACGCTCCGTTTATCTATTACTTTCAAGTTATGATGACGAATTATATGTTATATAGGAAGTAGGTTATCTGCTCAACAGTTATTATTGTTTCATAAAAAAATTGCCATGTAAATTTCTGGTTCGAAATTTTTATGTTTCTCCGGAACTATTAAAAAAAATATTGGACCGTACAGCGCAAAAGAAAGTAATAAATTACAGCTATTAACCAAACCGAGTACATCCTAACGAGCGTTATTATAAAATAAGCGTTACTCGCCATTTTTCCTTGTCAACTTTTAATTTAATAAGAAAGACGTTATTTCGTGCAATTTTTCTCCGCTTTACGACACAATTAACATTAATGCGATCATCTTCATAATGATTAAGAGCCATCAAGAAGGAACACCAGCAAAATTGATGCAAACAATTCATCTGTAAATATTCTTTTATATGTACAATCCAATTCACTTTATTTTACATTATCATCAGCTGTATCAATCCGTTTTCAAACGTTGTATTCCCCGGGTCTTTTATGACCGCTCGACGACAATGCTCCTGCAAGTAATATTCTTTAGAAGTGGATCTTTACGTCCGAGGAGAATTTGTTTCAATATGTCTGCAGCGTAAAACCCCTAACAATGGATCCGATTTTATCCGTAGGTCGACAGACCAAACGAGATGTCAGTTTGTCACGGAAAGCTCGAATAGTTTACTTCATTTAACCCGAGTAGGTTACCTATATACAGAGAAACACAACCCAATCTCTGCTGAGACTTTTCGGAACTGGAGAGAATCCACAGTGGCGTTTCTATTCGCTATAAATTAAAATCTCTTACTAGTTTATTATAATCGTTAGTTATCCAGAGGATGGTGGAGTAAAAGTCTTTGGAATCGCGAAGATATGGCGGGTATGCAGAAGCAATTAGTTCCGATGCTGCAAAAGCGCTACTGGGCCCCATCGGAGCGGAAGGAGAGCAAAGCAACTTGCCCGAAATTCCATCGGATCGAGTATTTTCACACGTGCGTGACTGAATAAAATATTTTATGTCGATCTCGAATTTTATGTAGAACTTTTATGGGGCGGGATTTTTCGAATTTAATAAAACCCACCTGCCTATCCGGGGCGTTACTGCCGATCATTATATTAAAAAAGTTGGCGAGGACGTGATGTAATATTTATTTCGATGAATATGGAAGGATATACGATGGTGTACTTTCGGATTTCCGAAGAAACTTTTCGAGTTTATGCAAATGCACACGAAAATAAATGCTGCTCATATTTTCTTCTATTTACCATTAAAATCGTTAATTCTTCCTGCTAAACTAACTCTTTAAAATGAATTCTAAGTACAATAAAATCTGGATCTGGATAGATTCGAATAGATTAAATGGATACCACAATACAAACAGGTGAAAAGTTGGTGAAATTGTGTTTGTATTTAATGAGAGAAATTGTGGTTTGATAAATATTTTTGTGCTATCAAACTGGTGATCAAAACTTTTCATTAATAATAGAATCAATTATTCAAACGCAAGATGAAGATATTAAAGGCCAAGAAGAAGATATTGAAACGCAAGAAGAAGATATTGAAATGCAAGAAGAGGATATTAAAACGCAAGAAGACATTAAAACGCAAGATAAAACCCAAAAAGAAGCTATTGAAACGCAAGAAGAAGATATTAAAACGCAAGAAGAGGACATTGAAACGCAGGAAGAGCATATTAAAAAGCTTAAAACTACCTCTTTAAAGAGATTTCTAAGTACAACAAAATCACTAATAACTAATCTGGATGGATTCGAATAGATTAAATGGATACCACAATACAAACAGGTGGAAAGTTAGTGAAATTGCGTTTGGATTTAATGAGAGAAATTGTGGTTTGCGCAATATTTTTGTGCTATCAAATTGGTGATCAAATTCGAAGCAACTTCATTGTAAACATAATTAGATCGTGCGGGGAAATGTAACAAAAATTTCCGGACAATAAAAATGCAAATTCGCGAGTTATTTCACCGATGCAAACACCATCGGTAACAGCTTCAACGAGCTCGTAGTTTAAATTATCACTATATTTAATTAATAAATGTTTTAGCAGGCATAAACTTGATTGAAGTGTATTTAACATAAGAAGAGGAATAGTAAATGCTGGCCATAAAATGTGGATCGATAAAATGTGGCTGGGATCCAAAAGTCTGGGAATATATCATGTGCCAATGGCGCGCTATATTATAGAGAAATTTATTTCTGTCCTATTTTTAAACGATTCGCGAAACTTTATAGTCTAAGTTTATCCATTCCTCAAATCTGATTGATCGAATTCCAACCCATATCAACGCATTAAATCTCTTGTAGAATCGTGGTTTTGGTTAAAGTTTGCAGCGACCGCCGCTGATTACTGTCGAGTGAAATCAGCATTTTCCTTCATTTCATTTTCCCGCTTTTTACTCAGTAATTAACTAACCACTCGACGGAAATTACTTAGGTCTAGCGGAGAAGCGTCCAGGTTTCCACCGTTTGTTTTCATTAGGAGCCCAACCGAGCTGATGTAGCAAAATTTCGCAGCAAAAACGGCGACTGGAACTCCACCAGCTGGATCATTTTTTAGTATTTCCTTGTCCAGAGCGCATACAAAAATTACATCGATGGCGTTCGTAAAATAAATCGTAGATAAAACTTCAACGGGAACGCTTCAAATTAAAAGTTTCCGAGATCCTGCGCGTAAATTTCGATATAATTTACGCAAACGTAAATAAATTCCGGAGTTTTCGAAACTTCCGCGAGGCCGTAAAACATCCAACGATAAGTTGACGGTAAAGTATCTGCACTATTTTGCAGATGTTTCGAACTCTTGCAGTTTAGTACTAGTATGTTACACTCCAACTACTTTGTCGCTGCTAAGTCGGGGGTTGTTTTACGATATTGCACCGTGGGGCGTAAAATAAAATCGCTGGTCGAATCTAAAAACTTTCTATTATTAATAGAAGTAATTATTGAAACGCAAGAACAAGATATTAAAGGCCAATAAGAAGATATTGAAACGCAAGAAGAGGATATTGTAATGCAAGAAGAGGATATTGAAACGCCAAGAAGAAGCTATTGAAACGCAAGAAAAGGATATTGAAACGCAAGAAGAAGATATTAAAACGCCAAGAAGAAGCTATTGAAACGCAAAAAGAGGATATTGAAACGCAAGAAGAGGATATTGAAACGCAAGAAGACATTAAAACGAAAGAAGAAGATATTAAAACGCAAGAACAAGATATTAAAATGCAAGAAGAGGATATTAAAACGCAGAAAGAGGATATTAAAAGGCTTAAAACTTATTAAAAGTTTAGTTCAATAATAGGGAATAATTGCTACAAACAGTATTAAAACCATATGCCACATTAGATCATATAATTGATTGATCAGCAATTTAATAACATTAGAACTGATGGAATTTACAAAATCGATGAATATTTGATTGACTAAGAACAAAAAATACATTCAAATATGTTTCGGCTTCCGTTTTCAAAGGAAATGCAAAAAATTCCACCAAAGCAAATTCGGTTATTCAATCCGGTATATGGCAGTAACGGAATTACAGAATAAAAACGGCACACGGGGGAAATAAGTTAAAATGTGTGCATTTCGATTTCTTCGGTAAACGCTCCCGACTCGAATGCAGCCCGTTCGTTCGTTCCTAAAGGACTTCATCCCGATCCTTTATGGTCAAGAAAAAAGCCCTTTTCAATACGCTCGAATGCACCTTTTTTTCGCGTTTCGTTTCCCCCATTTTAAACCTTTTTAATCTACCGGATTCACCATAAAACTACAAAAACAACTAAAGCGAACATGCAACAAGTAAATTTCCCAAATCTTCAAACTACTTCGAGAAAATCCTTACAAGTCGATATCTCCATAACATTACTAAAGTCATGACCATTACCCAGCTTGTTTGCCGAAGATTTAGACTGTCTCCTTAACGCTAACACATTCTTGGATGGTACAAAGCTCGCGAGTATACAATGTCGAAAAAGGTAATACAATAACGCTGATATAAAATTTAATGGGCTTCACCCAGAAACCCGAAAGCCGTTAGACGAAAACACAGATGCGAAGAAGCGTCTCGACGACTCATCGGGAGATGGAGCACTGAATATTTCATTAGCAGTTAGGTACGAAATTGAATACTAAAAGTGTTAAAACTCATGAATCAGTCCGCAGGAATCGGCTCTACACACAGCAGAGGAAAGACTCCCAAATGGAATACATCGAATACGATAAACAGTTCTTTATATATAAAAGGGATTTCTGATAAAAGCTAATGGGGTTGTTTTTTGCGATTTAACGCATTGTATGTTGCTACATACCATCGAAAAAAATCTCTAATCTAAAGTATTACATGTTAAAATTTTTTATTCAAGTTCGATCAATATCTTCCGGGGTTAAATAAATATTTTGAGTCTCGTTCGTGATAAATTTGGCGCTTGACAAACGGGGAACATTCATTAATTTAATAGCGAAATGAACGATTTCCGCGTTGAAATGACCTCGTAAATATTCCATGGAAATAAGGAGAATTAGAATGGGAAATTCCCGTTTGAATGATTTAAAATTTCAGTTGTTTTCGCCAGGCGAAAAAAGGCTCATACATCTTGGTCATTCGAAAATGAATTATTAAAATATAATCTTGGATATTCTAAAAGCTTAATTTTAACATTCCGGGCATTTTAGCAATTTAACGAATGAATTTATAAAGAGGAATGAAAAAAGTGGGTCAACAGGAGCCGGTTATATTATAATGGGATGACATAAATACACATCAAAATTTAACATGCCATGAATATAATTAACGCTCGTTTGTTGTGAACAAAATATCATTACAAAAGTTTTGATTTTTATCGATATCGCGTGAAAAGCTCATTCTATAATACCTGATATTGATGAGAAAAAAATATCCACTAATCACCCAAACTGAGGAAATGATTTATCCTAATTAATTTTTGTTCTCTTCTGTACGATGTGAATGTACTATATTTCAATTAAAAGTTAATTTCACCTATCCTAAAAATAAGCTCATTTGATCCTTTGAAACGGAATGTAAAACGTTGGAGCATTTTCCGTTCTGCTGCTTTAAAACTACCTAATTCCTGAATTTCAAAGAATCGGGTTAATTCGGATTAATTAAAAGTTTTTTCCTCAATTACTGCTGTACTGCATGGATTCAAAATGGACTAAATTGCACTGTATCCTTATGAAAATTCAATCAAACAGGAATTTAATTCTATACCCATTTGTCAACCATTGTTCCATTATAAATTAGGGTTTAAAGTAAATTATAATAAACCTCTCATTATTGTAAATTTTAATGTGCAGTTTTACATGATATGTTGAATATTGTATCAAAATTTTAGGAAAATATAATTAGTTTCGTTTATTAAAGTTTAGTAAACATTTGATGTAAACTCAAAACCCTGTTAAGGGAGAAATTAAAATTAATTAAAAAATAAACTTTTGTTATTAAAACAGGATATGAAATTTTAAAAATGACAAGCAATTTAGCGTTTCAGTAAAAATAACCCTCGGGGGTAATTACTCTACCGATCTGCATCATAACAGGCCTTGGAGCATTTTCAGATAAAGCGGACGAATTCCCGTATGATAAAATGTTTACTATCAAATAGGGTATTATCAACTTTACCGCCAGTGTCTTGGGTTAGTTAGTGAGAGGACCTCTAATAGGCCCCAAGTCACTCCTTAGCCGCAAAACGTCGGATCTCATCAAGTGTTCAGTCATTCCAGTCGCTTTACAGTACCCCAATTTCAACGTACAAATTTACTTATGGAAATCTCGTTTCGGCGATTATAAATCTCTATTTTAATTGGACTTCGCGAGAATTCGGTTGTGTATTTAGAGCGGACGATTTTCTTAGCGAATTATGGCTAAACCTTTGCGCTATTTCCGATTGCAACATGGTCGTTTCTATGAGTGGGACAGAGAAAGATTGATAAAATGACAGCTGTCAGAGTGAAAAGTTGTAATGACACAATGTCACTCTTTCTTTTCCCTTTGTAAGTGTCAAATGGCAGTTGTCTTTATCGCACCCATTGAAATATATACAAACATTGGATGTTGCCGCGCTATTTTTTACAATTTACATTCTTCGAAATACACCCACAACATTTAATAAATTGCAAGTTTAAGAAATTTAGTTTAGAAATGTGACAAATTATACATTTCAAAATTCCTGAAATAGATAAATTTGGCAACGGTGTACTACCGCTAGCAGTAAAATTTGTAGATTTCGACTAAAGAGAGATCAGAGAACAGTATCTATCTCATTCTCCCAGCGAATAACAGCAAATATCGGAAAATCGGGAAGCAATTGTCACTGTTATTTCATACAATATCAACAAAATTTTCATACGTAATATTAAATAATTTTATATTTTTACCATAACAATTCTTAACATAATCAAATTCTTATTTAAAATATATTTGCCTACGCTCAAGGCTCCTGATTGGCTCCGCCATGTTACCTCTATCTTACTTTTTCTGCCTCGTTTACTTAATAAGTGACAGATAATTTTCAATCGCGTCAAATTTTTTTTGCTAAACACAAATGGCCACATTGTGAAAATTTCTAATTGAAACCGTGAATTAAATAGGTAGTGAAGTATCATTCAAAATGAGAATTGTGCTCTTAAAAATACACAACCCGTGAAAATCTCGTGCCAAAATTGCTCGTTTTCTACTGGAAAACAACAAAGCAAAATTGACGTTCCAAATGCGTTATTGTTGTTTTCGTTTATCTTATGCA